TTGTGTTAAAGCAATTAAACTTGCTAAAGAAAATAATATTAATTTCTTCCTTGCTGTAGGAGGAGGATCAGTTATAGATGCTACTAAATATATTGCACTTGCTATGGAACATACATACTCAAATGATACATATGACATATTAATGAAAGCTGGTACATTTAAATATAATCCTGCTAAAGCAAAAATTGGTGTTGTTTTAACGATTCCAGCCACTGGATCAGAAATGAATCCAGGATTTGTGATTTCACGTCATTCTTCTAATGACAAACGAGCAGCTGAAGATGATAGTTGTTATCCTCTTTTTGCTATTGTTGATCCATGTCATTCATTTACTTTACCAGATAACCAAATTAGAAATGGTTTAATTGATGCATTTGTTCATGTTTATGAACAATATATTGGACATTATCAAAAAAATCCTGTAATTGATGGAGAATGTGAAGCAGTAATGAAAAGTATTATTAAAGTTGCACCAATAACATTAAAAGACCATTACGATTATCAAGCACGAGCTACTTTTTGTTATGCCGCTACAGTTGCTTTAAATTATTCATTAACATGTGGTATTGATCAATGTTGGGGAGCTCATAGAATTGGACATGAAATTACAGCATATTATGGACTTGCACATGGAGAGACATTAGCAATGGCTATGCCAGGAGTAATGAAATTTCATAAAGAAAAGAATAAACAAAAATTAATTCAAATGGCTGAACAAGTTTTTGGAGTTAAAAATGCACAACCAGAAGATGCTATTAAAGCTTCAGAACAATTTTTCAAATCTATTGGAGCAAAAACAAGATTATCAGAATGGGGATTTGGTAAAGAACATTTTAAAGAAATTTCTGATAAATTTGATTCTAGACCATGTGGAGTTTATAAGGACATTGATACTAAAGGCTGTCTTATTATTTTAGACAACCTTTATTAACTCAATTCAATTCTTTATTAGATATTTTCATTTATATTTAAGAAAATAAATTAAAGAAGACTCATTTAAAATATATTTACTGTATATAAACCAAGGATAGTTAAAAGAATGATATTTCTTACTAAGAAACCTAATAAACAAAGATGACCTATTCTTTTGTTTATTGTTGTTATTAAGTAATTACTTCTTGATAAAATAAATGCAAATATCCAACAAATAGAAAAGATAAACCCAATTCCAACAAGTACATAGAACATTATCTTATATCTTTTTTCTACTTTGTTTTCACTTGGATTCATTAAAGGTACATTGTCCATGTTATAAATGACTCTTTTTTAAAACAAAAAAAAGAACTAAAAACTATAAATTATAATATTTTTATTGTCATAAATTATTTCATATTTTTTTTTTTTTTTATTAAACCCAAAAAAAGAAAACTTATTTTTTGTTTTTTTTTAGTTTTGTGTTATTTGAAAAGAACTTGAAGGAAACTAAAAATTTATAATACTGATGAGTGAAAGTAATTACGTTTTTAGACGGGTAAAGTTACCAGCAAGGGGGGATAAACTTAGTTCTCCTTTTCAAAAGTTTGATACTTCTGTACCAAAGAAGCAATTAACTGTTGTTGGAAAACAAACTGGATTAAATAAAAATATTAAAACAAAAGGTGGTATTACTGCAGCAGATCTTCAAAGTGCAAAATTATCTGCGTTGCCACCAACAAATTATATTGATGAAAAATTTAAAGAGATTTCAGCATTATTTGATATTTCACCAAATGAATCAAATGAATTATCGTATGAAACTAAATGGTTACTTCTTCAAAGACACAGTCCTGACGCTTCTCAAAGTAAATTAAGAAATGCTACATTTGCAGTTTCTTCTTTAAGATGTGAACCAACACCAACATTGATTGAATCAATTATTGTTTTTTTAAAAAATGAAAAATGGTCATCACAGTTTATTGAAGCAGATGGAGTAGAAGCATTAATTGATGCATTAACTTCTTCAATGAATGGTTCAGAAAAAAAGAATGGAGCTGAAGTATCAAGAAACTGTCTTAGAGCATTAAGAACTATTGCACCTATAGCAGAAGATAGAGTAGTTAAATCAACAGTATGTGATTTATTAATGAAATGTTTGACAGTTAATGTAGCAGATGAAAGAATTAGAACTGAAGCCACTATGTTATTATGTTTAATTTCTAATAAGAAGAAAGGAAGTGAGGAAGTTTTAGCTGCAATTGATAAGGTTAAAGGTAAAGAAGGTCGATTTAAAATTCTTGTAGAGTTATTTGGAAAGACTGATGATAGTGAATTAAAAGCAACTATTGTAGCTATGTTTTCATATTTAACAAATAATGCTGATGATATTTTTACTCGTATCTCAAGACGTGCAGAATTAACATTAAGTGGGTTTGATGAAAAGTGTAATGGAGAAAAGTCTAAAGCATCACTTGCAATGAGCAAAGATGTTTCTGATATTTTAAACCAAATTGGAATATATGAAAAGTTAAGAGGAGAAGATGACGCTAAAATGAAAGAAAGATTTAAAGATATTCCAATGTTAAGTGTAGAACATACTGACGAAAAACTTAGAGGAGTATTAGAACAAGCAAGAGCAGAAATATATTATGTTCAGATGTTAAAAGAAATTGAATTTCTTGTTGGAACTGATTACACAAAAAATAAAAATGAAACTATCTTGCAACAAAAATTAGTTGTAGCTACTAGATTCATTAGACAACTTGGTCTTTATTCATATGAAAATGACCAACATAATACCATTGAGTTTAATGAGCATTCAATAGATATTAATTCTTTAGTCTCAGGAGCTGCAGATTGTCTTGGAATGGCAAAGTTATTGGAAGAAAACGCTACACTAAAATTAAGTGGAGGAGTAAAGAAGACAAAAATCGATGATGAAGAGAAAGAGAAATTAATTCAACAAAAAATGGAAGAAATGAAAAAACAATCTTCCTTGATTGCTGCAAATGAAGAGAAAGTAACACTAAAATTAAAAGAAGTAGAAGAAAAAGAAAAAAAAATCGCCTTGTTAGAGTCAAGTCAAGCGGCTTTAGATGGATTGAAAATCAAGTATGACGAACTTAACGTACAACATAATAACACAATGGAAGTCATGAAAATTCTTACTAAAAATCCTAAACTAGTTGATCATTTAAAGGCTGTAGGTGGTGTATTTGCTTTTAGTGAAACTGCAGTTCAAATAGCCGATAAGAGTCAAGAAGAAGTTGTTAACAAAGAAGATTTAGACAGATTAAAGGATGCTGTTCTTAAGTTGTCTCCAAAAGGTGTTGTACCACCTCCTTCTAGTACAACAACCGCACCCCCTCCTGGAGCTACTACTACTATGCCACCACCCCCACCACCTCCTGGAGCTACT